AAATAAATGTTGGTTTACCATACAGAGGAATACTACTCTGCTATAAAATACTGAACTCTTGATACATAAAAGAAATGGATGAATTTCTCATTTTATATTTTGGGTTAGACATTTAAAGGTAGTATAGGCCAGAAAATATAGTAGAAACAACAGATAATCAAATTTTAAATTATTTATTTTTTGAATTAAACCCAGGACATCACACCTTATTCAAGCTGTCTACCACTGAGCCCCAACCCCAGCTTTCAAGTTCTTTTATTGTTAAGATGGAAAATATTCAAAAGGCAAGGAATCAGTATTAAGAAAGCAAGGAAATTTGCAAAATATAAATGGAAATGTTTGCTGAGCAGGAAAGAAAAAAAAATGACTTGTCCAAAATTAGGTGTCTCCTGACCCTGACAGAACCTTAAGAAAAACATCCCTTTATCCCAGGAGCAATGGGATCATATCAGACCATGACTGGGACAAGAGTAGGAGACAAATCAAACAGGTTACATTGGTGCTATTCCTTCCCCAGATTCTCTTGAGTCTTTAGCTTCAAAGCCTCTGGATGTCTGGCGGGGGGGACCCAAGCTGGACACTTAGGGAAAGAGATAAGACGGCAACGAAGCTGTCACTGTTATGACAGTGGGTCCCAGATACCCTTCCATCGTCTTGGGCCCTGTGTCACTCCCAGTGGTGTCCAAGTCTGTAGGACCAGCATCTCTTCCTCCCTCTTTCTCCCACCCCAACCAAGCCCAATCTTGCACTGTCAACTCCAGAGATTTCCTCTAGGGGGCGCGCCTTGCCGATGCTCCAGGAGCACCAGCACCTTCCTGGCTACCTATGGCCCTCCAATCCTGGATCTGTCATGGGATTTCCTTCCCAGTCTCAGGCCCTCACCATCCCGGATATGCCCCAGAGTCAACATTCCAGCCTGGACTCCTGCCAGCCATCATGCACCTGAGCCTTGGAAAGGAGCAGTGCCGCCCTCCGTGCCCCGCACCTGGCAGCTGGGCTCAAGTGTCCCATGCTGCGCAGGGATTCCCCACCTCGACTTTCCCCCAGCCTCAAGTTAGCAACTGTTTGACTAGGCGCTCCAGTTGCCTTCGTGCCACCCCCTAACCCTGCCCCGCGGCCCCCCCACCCGCCCCCGCAACCGGATACGATCCTTTCATTCCCCCGCACAGCTGTGCCTGCCTGCCGGGTCCCATCCTGAGGCATCCTCGCAGGGCTGTGCAGGCCGCCTCCAGCTCCCAGATAACACGTCTCCTTCCTTCCCTGAGGCCTCTGACTGCTGGATCTGATGAGCCGCTCCTCCCACTCCCAGCTTCGCTCAGCCCCAGCCACCCACAAGCCTGAAGGAAAATGCTCCCTTCCCGGCTTCCTGCGGCCAGCCCTTGGAAGTTCCCCGGGGCTGCACAGTTTCCTCTTTCCTAGGGCCCCTTTCCTTCCCCCAGGTGGGCCACTGATGATCCATCTCAAGGCGTGCACCCTAGCAAGCACTCCCTAACGAACCCCTATAGGGCCTTGCCTCATTCTAGCGGCGCCTTCTCGGTGCAGCCTCTTCTTAGGGCGGAGGGAAGCCTTACGGGGCATATCCCCCCCCCACCCCCCCACCCGCCACCTGCTCCTTGGAACCCTTAAGGGTATGTGCGTCCAAAGACCCGCACTTACTTGACTGCCAGTGCCCTCGCGGATGACCCCTCCTCCACTCGGTTTCCTAATACCCTGTCATGCCAGGCCAAAACGTGGCTGGATCCCGCCCTCACTCCGCCCGCATCAGAGCAGGCTGCCGGGGAGGGCCCAGAGCCCGGGTTATAAAGTCGAGCAGGACAAGCAAAGATACCCGCCCCGCCACCCAGGTCACACAGGTCAGTAGGACAGTTCTTTCTTGGTCCATACTGGAAAAGCTTAGAACTTTTTCATTCCAGCGTGTCTATTGCATTTTTAAGCCTTTTGACTCTAACTGGATGACTATGTCTACATTAAAAGGAATTTCAGGAATTGTGTTGACATCATCATTTTTCTTCTCTCCAAGGTCTTTCATTTTATTATCTTTTACCTCTACACCCCATTCCCGTTTTCCTGCCCCTGTGATCCATGCCATTTTGGTTATCTTTTGTTTTTATGTATTCTTGTGAAATATATACATGTATGTGTGTGTATATACATACACATACATATATACACACATACATATACATAGTTTTACTGGCATATGTTTTAAGTTCATGCAAAAGGAATTGTATTGTTTCTCATTTGGTTTCTTTTCATGAGTCCTAAGATTTTAATACTAATCCATGTTGCCGCCTCCCCTTGGCCCATATTTATCCTTTCCATCTTCCTGCTCCCACCAAGAGCAGTGCAGTAATATCCTCAAACATATTCCCTTATACAGTATTTCTCAAATATTCATGCACACAAGTATCACCTGGGAATCTTATTAAAATGCTGTTTGATTCGGTAGGTGGGGCCTGAGACTTTGCATTTCTCAACAGCTTCCAGGGGATGTTCATACTGCTGGTCCTGCCACAGTTTGAAGAGCAAGGCCCTTGTGGACTTCTGTGAGAATTTATTTGGGGTTGCTGGGTCATAAGGTATGTGTTGGTCTAATTTAGAAAGTATTACCCTTCTGCTCTCCAGTCTGGCTGCACCAGGGTAGGAGAGTGGAAGGTATATATCTATGTGGGGGAAAGGCTTTTTTTCTTGTTCCTGCCCAAATCCCCGCCCCCTATGCATCTGGCATGGGTCCAAACCTTCTTTCTCCTTTGATTGGAATGGCCTCAAGTGTCCAGAGAGATGTCCCTGGATAGTAAGGCATAGCAAGTCAAAGATGGACAGGCCAGGCATCCTAGGGTCCATCCCCACCAGACATCAACTGGTTTGATTTATAACCTCCAGAGCCTTAAGTTTTATCTCTAGCAGGAAATTTTGAGAACAAGGGAAGCCGCAATCTTCAGTTCGTTTTTTGTGTTCTCTCTACCCTGTATGGCCTCTCCCTTCAGTAGTGTTTGTGGGGTTTGGGACTCAAAAGTCCTGACTTTCCCACTGGCAATCAGCCATCCTGAGTCTGACTTCTCACTAAGTGGGATAGTCATGATACAGCTCTAGGTTTGATACTAGGAGTTGGTCCAAGCACTTCCCCCACATTCCAGGAGCCCCACAGAAGCCCTAAGACAAGTGCCCTTGCCTTGTTTCATCCTTAAGAAAAATGAAGTTCAGGAAGGCTTAGTAATTGCCACCAATGCCAGTGACAGTGCTCAGATTTAAGCCTAGCCCCAGCAAAGTACATCATGCTAATCATAAAGCTAAGCCACCTCCATATCCCACCCTTGCCCTTGCTACCAGGTCATGTTACAGAGAAATGGAAAGGACTGGTTCTTGGGTTTCAGACACTGAAGCTGAAGGCATCTGCACAAAGCTATAGCAAGTGAATTTGGGGAAAATGATCCAGGGTTCTAGGGGCTGGTTAGTCCCCAGGGCATGAGTATTTCTGTGGCAGGAAACAGGTGATCTTGGGTCTAGGGCTTCAGGAGCAAGGATTTTAGGGTTAGCTGTAAAGTAGGAGCCAGGTCTTGGCAGGAGTTGGGGAGGATCAAGGACTGAGTGGGAGTTAGGTGGGCAGGTCCCAGCTGTGGGTAATTTTCTTTCATATACTTTATTTGGCAATAACTTATTACCCAGTGTTTGTTTGGAAGAGTCAACAGATGCGCAAATGGCCAGAATCTGGAGCATCAAGTGACACCACTTTGCAAAACCTTTCTGGGCTGTGAGCAGCTTTCTGAGTCAGTTTAGGAAATGCCTGAACTGTTTTCTCCCCATTCACACAGCCACGTGAGCATCTTCTGGCACCAAGCCCCAGTACCAAGCATTTCACAATCATAAGAGTTCAACATCTGCAAATTTTGAGATTTCATGGCACATGACTTTTTACATCTTGTCTACACCATCCATCCTCTATTTCCCATCTCAGAGCCAAAATTTTATATATGACAAAGCATTTCTCTGAGAGCCTAGGGAGGTTTCTTGCTTTCTTATCAGTCTTCTGGTCAAAAGACCTCAAGAATGTTCCCATTTTTTTTTTTTTTTGCCTTTACAAAGTATTTTGCAAGCAGGTATTACCTTTGACAACAACCTTGTGACAGGATTGAGTCAACCCTGAGACTCAAAAGAATTGACCAAAACCACACATTGTGTAAGTGACTGCAATGGGACTTGCTTGTTTTTCTGTAACAGTCATATAGACTCTTAAAAGAATGCATAGGTAGGGGCTGGGATTTAGCTTGATATTGGAGTGCGTGCTTAACATACATGAAATTTTGCGTCCTATCTCCAGCACCACAAGAAAGGGGTGGGGGAGGAAAGAAGGAAAGAAGGAAGGGAGGGAGTGAGGGGGAGGGGGAAGGGAGGGAGGGAGAGAAAATAAAACTCACTACTCTGGTTGGCCCATTTTCCAGATTTGGTGGTATAAACTGAGGCAAAAAGTAGGAAGAATAGGGAGCAGAATGCCTGGGCAAAAAACTCTGGAAGGTGAGCAGGGCTTCTGCTCAGCCCTCTCCTATGTAGGTTTCTATCAGTGGAGCCCTTTCTAGAGCCTGCGATCCTCCTGAAAGTGGAAAAGGGGACTGGTGGGAGCAATGGCAAGTCCAGGGGTACCCAGTTACTTCAGAAAGTCTGAATCTGAGACAGCTGAGCAGCTGTGACAAAAAGATGCTTCCAGTTGCCAAGGCAACCCCAGCGATGTTACCACATCCACATGGGTGCTCTCAGTGACTTGACCAAGCTCTGCCCTTGGCCAAGCCATCTGTCCTGTCTCCTCAAAGCCTGGCCCTCACACCAGGAACCTGCAGCAGCAGCCTGAGGAAGGTGCAAGAGGCCAGGCCAATCTACCTGTTGGCTCCAGTCACACCACACAGCTTTGACTTGTGTTGAGACTGGAGTCTGGGGCCTGCTGAGGTCCCTCTGCCCTCCCTCTCCCCAGGGCTCACGCCCTAGGTCAGGGCTCAACAGACACAGGCAGCGGAATGGGGATGCCCTTCTATTGGTCCAAGTCCTGAGCACGGCCTGGGTGAGTCATGGAGGTGAGGAGGCCCACGAGGCTCAGCAGTGTGGAGAAGAGCAGCAGGAAGGAGGCCGTGAAGAGCAAGGCAGGCAGGGCACTTAGCACCAGCAGCAGGATGGCCGGCAGCAGATGGCGCCACATGGCAGCCACCACAGGCCAGAGGGAGCTGAGCAGGTGGGTACCGGTGGTGAAGAGTGCATGGCACAGCATCAGAGCCAGCAGCAGGTAGAGTATCCCCTCCAGACCCCACAGCACGCGCTGCAGGGGTTGCCGCAAACCTGATGTGGTCCACCACTGGGCCCAGCTCTGGGGCACGTGGCATACCCACCAGCGCACCCAGCCCTGCCGGGTGACCCAGACCGACCAGGGGACCGACCGCTGCGGCCCCTCGCCGGCCCCGATGGGATCCGTCTCCACTCGTGGCTGCTGCATCACGGCTGGTGCACCTGTGGATAGGGCCAGGCCAGCTGCAGGAGCAGCCCTGGAGATGCTTGGGACCTCAGGGCAGGTGGGAGTGCATGGGACAGGGGGACATCAATGTGGGCAGGGTAGGGTTTTTGAACAGGTCTTACCTTTGGATAGAGCTACCTAAGTCATGTTGCTTCCTGCTGCACCCAGGACAGGCTGGCCGCCAGTCCGAGCCCCAACTCTTACCCTCCCCCACCTCCCCAGAGGAGCCCCATTGTGACCCGGGCTGGGGTGGGGTCTGGCCAAGAGAGGAGTCATTGTAGAGTCCCTCTCTATGGACTCTCCTGGCTAGCAGGGGGCCCTGGGGAGTCCAACAGAAGTAGTTTCTCAGACTTTCTTGAGGGAAGCCCTTCCCATCCCTGCCCTTTCTCTTATGATTGATACCAGCCCACCCTATTCTCTTGCAAGTTTTCCTCTCTGGACCCTCATTTTCTAGAACCACAGAGGAGGCCAGAATGGCTGTCCCCAACCTGCAGGCCCTGAGAAGCCTGGAGCCCCCTGCTTCATATCCTGTCTTTTCTTGCTGGTCCCAAGCCCCAAACCCAGCCATCCACTGTCCATATTATGGAGCCACAGATCCTCTGAGATTCAGGCTAAGAATAAAGAAGTGTTCTCCCGCACACCTAGCCTAGGATGGAGGAAAGGAGGCTTCAAGAAGCAGGATGACCAGTGTATTTTTGGAGGGCACTCGGTATTTTGGGAGATCCGTCAAGCCCAAGGATGGAGGCAGAAAGCCACACCCAGCAGGGCTAAGGGCATGCCTCGGGCTCCCAGGAGCAGCCCCAGGCCCAGGCCCAGCAGGAGTAGTGCGTCTTGGAGGCTGAGTTGTCCCGGGATTGCCCCCGTTGGGAGGAGAGGAGCCACTTGCTGTCCTGGACCCTCACCGGCCCCCTGACTCTGGCCCCTTGTGAGAAGTCTGTGTTGCGGTATGGTGGGATCTGAGGGCCTGTGGAGAGAAAGGGAAAGCAGCTGCACTTAGGGAAGTCAGCCGCTTGCCCACCTGCGTACAACGCCCATCTACCAGGCTGCTGCCCACTTACCTGTGGAGCAGGTCAAAGGTGAGGAAGCTGACCAGTAGCAGCAGCAGCAGCAGGGCTGGGCCAGCCGAGCAAAAGATTGCTCGAATTGTCAGCCCTAGCGCCCCCAGCCCCAGGACACTGTCCAGGAGCTGGGCCTGGCTAGGGTGCCAGAGGGACACACATGGATGGACTGCACTTCCCAATCCCTCCCCAGCACCTAGGCCCTTGGAAGGGAGTGGGTTCAGATCTACAAGGGCTTTGGTCCTGGGTAAGCAGAGCCGGGTCATGGAGGAGTTGGAGGTGATGGGAAGAGCTAGTGCTGGAAGCGGGGAGGAGGAGTGGAGAGGAAGAGGGGGTAGGTCTCTAGCAGATCCTCAAGTGTGAGCTCAGAGTATAGGGAATTGGCTCCTGGGTATCTTCCCCTCCCCACCCTGCCCACCCACTAACCCTTCTCACCTCCTCCCACCTTGATCAGCCATCCTAGGACTGAACAGCTGGGGCATTGTGACCTGTTAACAGGTAGGACCCTGGGAGAGGGAGGGGGCTACAGCTGGTCTGGCCTCATAAGCTCTAGTGGCCTAGTTTAGCCAGCAAACGGGTGAGTTCTGAGAACTAAGAGTCATCCTCTTGCCTCTGTTCACTCTTTGTCCTAGGGCCCTCCCATGGGATCTGGGGTGTCAGGAAGGCACTCTAACACTGATTGGGCAGCTGTCCAAGGGAGGAGGGGCTGCTTTCTTCCTGTAAGTTCCCAGAACTGTTTGTCAAGGCAGGAGTGAGCAAGCCATTCAATCTCTCTGTCCCCATCTCTCTTCCCTGAGAGTGAGGTGTGGGTGGGGTTTTTCAGAACTGCATCCCTGGAATGCAGGATACAACCCGAGGTTTTCTGGGGCTGGGATCTCAGGTGACCTGCCAAATGGGGATGGGACAGGAGGGGGCCTTTTAGTTGTCCTCTAAGCACTACAGTTTAGGGGATGTGTTCTGGATGCTGGGGCTCCAGAAATGGGACAGGGGCTATATACTTAAGAGAACTACAGATTGCAGGCACCAAATTGCAGGTTAAGTTTATCCTCTGATATTTAAATTAAGGAAGATGAACATGTAATGATGGGCCTGTTCACCTAGAAGAGAAACAAATCTCCACTAATAATCTGTAAATGGATAGTGTGTGTTCCACAACATCGTGGTATAGTGACTTAAAAGGAAAGAGTAGAAATGAGTCATTGACCCCATATCTTACTTCAAAGGAAAAGTGATGGGGGTAGGGGCAAGGAAGACAGCCTCTAAGAAGAGGAAAGAGATAAAAAGGATCAGGATCATCCAACAGGCTTGGCAGAACATTGAGTCAAGACCACTAGCCCTTGGGACCATCCACCGATTTTTCCTGCTCTGGCTCTTTTTATCTAGCAACTGGACTTTTGAAATATATTTGTCTATAAGGGGATCAGGTATAACAGGGGATAGGGTATAAGGGAGAATCCTAGCTTTTTTCCCCCTATAAGTTCCAATTGTCTTTGTAAATGAGCCCATTAGTATTGAGGTTTAAGATTGTCCAAAGCCCGATCAATTCTAGATGCATGAGTAAGATTTCTTTCCTGGACATACAGATCTGAGGGTAATATCCCAATGATTCCACCAAGATGAGGAAACTATATAATGCAAGAGGTTGGTGAATGGAGGGTGACTAATCCTCCTTAATGATTTGCTGTGTGCATAGCTAAGCTATGGAACCAAACTGGGTGCCCTTCAACAGATGAATGAATAAAGAAAATGTATTGCGTGTGTGTGTGTGTATACATATATTTATATACACACAATGGGATATTACTCAGCTATAAAGAAGAATGAAATTATGGCATTTGGTAGTAAATGGATAGAACTGGAGACTATTATGCTAGGCAAAATAAGCCAATCCCCCCCAAAACAAAAGTCAAATATTCTCTCTGATACGAGGATGCTAACACACAATTGGTGGGTGGTGAGGGAAGAATAGAAGTTCATTGGATTAAACAAAGGGGAATAAAGGGAAAGGATGATTGATGGGAATAGGAAAGACAGTAGAATGAATCAGACACAATTTTTCTGTGTTCATAGATAAATACACAACCAGTGTAACTCCACATGTACAACCACAAGAATGGGAAGTTATACGTCATGTATGTAAGATATGTCAAAATACATTCTATTGTCATGTATAACTAAAAATATATAATTAATGAATAAAAATTTTATATATTAAAAAAAATGAGTAGAAATGAGTCATTGACCCCATATCTTACTTCAAAGGAAAAGTGATGCCAGATGCTCTGCATACGTTTCTTAGAGATTTACTCAGTTTATTTTTCTTTCTTTTTGGTACAGGGATTGAATCCAGGGGTATTTTACCACTGAGCTACATCCCCAGCCCTTTTTATTTTTTTGTTTTGAGACAGGCTTTAACTTGCTTAGGGCCTCACTAATTTGCAGAGGCAGGACTCAAACTTGCGAAACTTGTGCCTCAATCTCCTGAGTCACTGGAATTACAGGCCTGTACCACGGGTGGGATAACAGGCATGCACCACTGCATGGAGCCAGAGTGTATTTTTCATTCAACAATCATTTATTAAGTGCCAGGTACTGTGCCTGATACTGGTCATAATTCCTAAAAGCAGAGTGTACACATAATTTGCAGAGGGAGTGCTCTCAGGAGGACAACTTTTTGGGGAGTGAGGAAAGGGAAGCAGAACAGGGCCGGGATAAAATCTAAACAAGGATGTGGTCTTGGCTGGACTCTAACCTGACTCTGACTGCAGTTGGTTCTGCAAGGTGAATTGCACGATTGAGTTTGTCCCATGTATCTGTGCCAGTCAGTCAGTGGCTGTGGCTCCTCCAAGGAGAAAAAGGGAGAGAGAAGTTGTGGCTAGGAGGTGGGTGAAGGCAGCACCTATCAGCTGAGGGCATTTGTCTGGAGAAGAGAACAGACAGCTGTGACCTAAGAGCAGCAAACACAGCAGTGGGGTGGAGCACTAGTTGGTAAAGGAGGCTGAGTGGAGAACCACCAGCATATGTCAGTGGATATTATGCAGTAAAGAATTAACTCAGCAAGTCTGGATTATCTAAGTCCTCCTCATCCTAAGGAACAATTTATCTCTTTCTGGGCTCTGTAGAGATACCCTCCAAGTCCTTGGAATATTTGGCCTAATGCAAGCGTTTTCATTTAATGGGAGTTGACAGTCTCTGCCAACAAATGTGATTCATTCTGGGGGATCTGAACCATGCACTCTCACTTTGGTCTCTGGAGGGGGTTGAACTAAGGTCAGCCACATGGATAGCCAACTATATCTACACCATTGACCCCCAGTAAAACTCTGGGACGTCAAGGCTCCAGAGTTTCCTTTTGGGCAATACTCTGTGCATGTTGTCACACGTTGTACAGGGAAAATTAATGAAATTAATTCCATTTCCATATCACAACCAGAAATTTGTGCCAGACGTTTTCTGGACCCTGCCCTACGTACCTTTTGCCATTGCAGGTTTTCATCTGTACCCTTTTTCTGTAATAAACTGTGACCGTGTGTATGACCACTTTGCTGAGTTCTTTGAGTTCTTCAACTGAACCACTGAACACAAGGGTCGTCTTGGGCCCTCAGAAAGCATTGGTGTCAGAAGTGGGATTTGCTAGGTCAACCCTGACTCACTGAAATATGGTGAAGGTATGATTTGAGAAAAGGAAGGATGAGAAGATGGGGTTGTCAAGTCTTTGATTCCTGGATGGACATTTTGATTCCTGGATATCACCCACAGTATGGAAATGCAGCTGGTCTGTGATCAGTTACCAGAGGTAAAAGTTACCAATGGAACTTAGTAATGCTAGAGCATACTTCTGAGGAGTTAGGAAATCTTCAGTTTAGGAAATCTCCCAGAAAAGAGAATAATAACTGAAGCTCATAAAGAAAAGAGAAAAAGTCAATAGAATCACAGAATCAATATTTGAATAATGTTAGTCTTAAAAAATTACAATAGGAAGGATTTTTTTCAAAAATCAAGAAACTTTTCAGAACTGAGGGACATAAGTCTTTAGGCCATATGGTCCCACCAGTTCACAGTACATGATAAAATTCAAATCAACGAGGCTTTCTACAAAGAACTTCCTAGCAGGATAAAGATCACATACTTTGAACCAGAATATCAGACTTTTAAACCTGACACTGGTAGGTAGGAGACAAAAGAAATGTCCTCAGAAACTGAGGGGGAAATGAGGTATAATATAGGAGCATATATCTGCCAAATGATCATCAATTGGGCTGGGGATGTGGCTCAAGCGGTAACGGGCTTGCCTGGCATGGGCGGGGTGCTGGGTTCGATCTTCAGCACCACAGAAAAATAAAATAAAGATGTTGTGTCCACCAAAAACTGAAAAATCAAATATTTTTAAAAATCTCTTCTCTCTTAAAAAAATTCTCTCTCTCTCTCCTCTCTTAAAAAATGATTATCAATTGACAAAATATTTTTAGCCATACAAGTTCTCAAAAGTTTGACTTGCATGCACCCTTTCTTAGAAAGCTACTGGAGGATGTGTTTCAGCAAAACAAGGACTCAAACTAATCCAAAGGACAATGTGGCATTCAAGAAATTTGTCCAAAAATAGGGATGATGAGAAAGATCTGGAATGACTCCTACTTTATGTGAAGAGAGCAACCAACATAGCCTGGACCAGAAGATAGGAGCTCTAAGAAAGAGTGTACAGAGGAAAATAAAATCAATTGGTTATTGGAGTGTTAAATATATTCAGAGTAAATAATCAATTCTATTGGAAATTGTGGGGTTATATTAACAATTGGTACCCAGAAAACCAACCAAATAATAAAATAAAACATTTACTAATTCTACAAAGCACAAAAATTGATATTTACATGATCATAATAAAAGTATTGAATATGACTTCAAATGGTGATTTTAGCTTTATTGGGAAGATGGAAGGAAATCTGTGTGTGTGTGTGTGTGTGTGTGTGTGTGTGTGTGTGTGTGTGCGGGTGCGCGGGCATAGAAGAGCTACATCTTTAATTCCATACTAGGAAATCCAGGGATAATATGTAAACAGAAGAATAAAAAAATAGCAATAGAAGCAAATAAAAAAGGAGAAATAACAAGAGGAATGAAAGGTGATTGATTTGGAAATGGAAAGGCATAGGGAAGAGTCTTCTATTACAAACCTAAATGTGATTTACCTTGATACTAAATTATCTTTATCAAAACACTCTATTGTGCAGTATTTTGATAAAGATAATTTAGTTTAGAAAGCAAATAATATAGGATTATGCTATGGGAGATCAGGAAAAAACTCCTAGGATGAATGAAAGGTGAATTTTTTAGTGATATGTGGAAATATGTAGCTTAATATAAAATTTCCAGTGACAGTATCAAACACAGTCAATCTATGAAAGTTGTGAATCTTGTGCATTTTAGACAGA